GGTCTCTATCTCTGCAACATCACTGTGATGTGTTACCAGTAGCCAACAGTGGACTTTCTTTTATTTTTTTACCTGCTTCAAACCTACAGGTAAAAGCAGGATTCAGGCCTGTTTAACAGAAACTCCTAGCACTTACATACGGGTGGCAGTCACTGGGGCAGAGGCCCATGGGCCGCGCTTCACTTGAGAACAGGTTGCTTTCCAAGTTCTGGAAGCTGATCCCTGTGGACAGGGCAGATGACCTTTTCTGTTGAAATTCAGCCCCTCCTTCCCACCATTTCTTTGCATGCAAGGTGGCTGTTTTGCGCCCCCCTGCATCTTCTCACTGAGCTGCTTGCCCAGCCCTTTCTTTTGAGGCAGGGTCCTGATAAGCCACTGAGTTGCCTGGGTGAGGCTTGAATTTGAGATTCTCCTCCCTCAGTCTCCCTGAGTGCTGCAGTTACAGGTGTGCATCACCATGCCTGGCTGAAGTGACTGAGTTCTTGTTTCACCTGCCACAGTCAGTGACTTAATCTACCCAGTCTGGAGGGCTGTAAGAGGGGTTGTGGAATAGGGATCTAGTAATATGGCCAGACACCACCCTAGGGGCAGAGAGCAAACAAGCCCCTAACAGCACAATTTCTGTTTTCTTCTGAAACAGGAACTTCAAAGTTGTCTTTTTTTTTTTTTTTTTTTCCTACAGGACCCAATATTCCCATCCAAGTACTAATCTGGCCAGACTGGGATCTGGGATCAGCTTTTGAGACCAGACATGATTGGGCATATTCAGGGTGCTCTGGCCACAGAATCCTCCCCCCTCCACGATCCTTCACTTGGGTGTACAGATACCTAGTAGGTAACTAAAAGTAGAACAAAGCTTGGCCTTCATTTTATATCTTTCTCCTTTATTACCTTACAACCTTGGGGGTAGATCCCTGCTCAGCTCCACATAGAGCACAAGAATGATCTGGGGAGTGCCTGTCTAAAAGCTGGCAATACAAGGTTGAGTACCTTTAAATTTACATAACCTACCTCAATCTTCTTCAAGATCTAGGACCCGAAGACTAGAGACTTCCAGGGACACGCAACTCCCAGTGAGCACCCAGAAGCCTCCAATACTTGCCTTAAATGTGCGGTTACCTTGGATTCCAGCAGAACCTCCATAAAACTGAAACTGTCACAAGCAGAAAGTCATCCCATGGAGACCAGATTAAGTGATACGGACTGCTCTGGGGGCCATTGTGCAAAACCAGAACTGAAATACTAACCAACTAGACCCTAGCCCACTTTAGCTACTCAATAAAAGCTGATCTTGTTCTTTGGTAATGAGCCAATCCGACCCTCTTTATTTATTTATTTTTTTGGTACTGGGGATTGAACTCAGGTCCTTGTGCTTGCAAGGCATGTGATGGAACCACTGAGCTAAATCCCCAGCCCTCCAATCCAACCCTCTTCATTAGACCTCTGCCCCTTCACCTCCTGAGGCTTTATTCCCTTCCTTATTTTCTCTTATTTCTAACTCTGCCTAATAAATCTGTCTTTGACCTACGCTGACACATCCTAAAGTGCTTTTTTCTGTGACTAGAGTCAAGAAACTACATAAGCATGTGGAAGACTCTGTCTCTTCTTTGGAGGACGTCTGTGGACCTTGCTGGTGACACTACTATTTTAGCTGTTAAGAACTGGGGGAAGGTCAGGTGTGGTGGCAGATGCCTGTAATCTTAGCACTCGGGAAGCTGAGGCAGGAGGGCTGGCAAGGGTTCAAGGCCAGCCTGAACTACATAGTGAGACCCCTGTCTCAAAAAGCAAAAAGAAACAAATAAAAGAACTGGGGGAAGAAGCAGAAAATTTAATCATATTATCGCAAGAAGTCCCTGAAGCAGGTCCTATTAGTGTCAATTTTCAGGAAAGCAAGACGTAGAGAATTAAATGACTTAAATCTTACAGCAGTAAGTGGTGGAATCAAGGCCTGGGGTGCCCTCCCTGATTGTGCCCACCCCTACCATGTTATGTCGTCTTTTCTTTTTTCTTTTTTGCCACTGGGGAATCTGATCTTTTGCACTGAGCTCTATCCTCATATCTCCAGCCCTTTTTAAATTTTGAGATGGGGTCTCACTAAGTTGTCGAGGCAGGACTTGAATTTGTGATCCTCCTGCCTTAGCCTCCCAGAGTGCTTGACTTACAAGCATGCATGACCATGGCAGGCACTCACCGCCTCCCCCCCCGCCCCCCAGGTACCAGGGATCGAACTCAGGACCTTGTGCTTGCAAGGCAGGTGCGGCACCACTGAGCTAAATCCCCAGCCTGACTCACCATGTTCTTAATGGCTCCACATTGCTTCTCTCTTTCCATTCATTCCATTATGAAAATTTCACTGTTCAGAGACAGGTCTGTAAGATTTTAAGATTTACTTTCATTTAGGAGCTAGCTGTAGAGCTCAAGATGCCATGTAGCCTTCTCTCTGATAGCAAGCCTTGGGGACTGGACAGTATTGCAAAAGCAGGGAACATGTGACACCACAATGCCTACCAGGGTACATGGAGTAAGTCTAAGAGAAATAAACAAAGGTCTCATCTGTATTCTTCACCTGGGAAGGATAGCAGGAGATTTTTACAAATGGTTAAGGAAACGCATGGCAGTGCACATCTGTAATCCCAGCACTTGAAGGTGTAGGCAGGAGGACCGCTTCGAGTTCAAGGCCAGCCTGGGCTACATAGTGAGTTCAAGCCCAGAGTGCAGTACAGAGCAAGACCATCTCAAAAAACAAACATAAATAAAAATGACTAAGGAAGTGATCTAGTTCCTTCCCGTAAGGGTGAGGCTTTTGATTTTCTGTCGCTGCATGGGCAGATTTCCACCACTTTAGCATGAAAACATAAAAGGAATGGAGAAACAAAAAACCGGTGATTTGAGCAAAATTAGAAAATTGTGCTGTGGGCTGGGCATGGTGGTGCTCGCCTGTAATCCCACCACTCAAGAGGCTGAGGCAGGAGGATCACTGTGAGTTCAAGGCCAGCCTGACCTACACAGTGAGACCCTGTCTCAACAACAAATAAACACCCCCCCCCCACATTGTGCTGTGAGCAATGCAAAGGCTAATGGATGAGGAAAACATAGTAGTATTTCTGGAAAGTTTCAGATTTGTAGGACTATTACTCTGTATACTTGCACAGTAATCAGGCCGAGCAACTAGCGACTCCAAGAAACAATCCTAGCATACCCGTGCAGGACACAAGGCAGCTTTACTTTTGGCTCTTGTCCACTGTCCCATGTCAGTTCATGGCGAAAGAGGGGAAGGGGCACGCAGGTGGACAGAGGTTTCATCACAGGAACCCACACCTTCTGCAACTGCTCTGCATGTGGAAACCGAGGTGGGCGGTGAGCGAGAGCGAGGGGCGAAAGAACAAAGGCCGGAAACGATGCCTGCTGCTCTATGCCCGGATGTGGTTCCCCGGGGGAACTCTGTCCTGGTTTTCGGTGTCCTGTGCAAAGAACTGGACAAGACACACAGAAAAGGGAGCGGGGACGTGCATTTATTGAAGGTGGAGAAGAAGTACGCTCTGTGGAGGGAGAGCCAGCCGGTGAACAGGCTCACGGCAGCTCTGCGGATGAAGGAGAGAGGGGTCTTTGCATCCAAAATTCCCGCCTTGCATTCCTCTCATGCGACTGCAGCCTCGGGACACTCGTCCCAGTCAAAACCTCACTTGGCCCAGAGCCAGATTTCAACCGCCTTATCAAGATTCACGTGGCTTCTTGGCAGAGGTAAATGAGGAATTGAAGATAGCATTTTTCTGCTCGGTTCCAGGCACCGTGCCTGGGAGCCCAGTCAGCCCGGATCCTGGGTTCTGTGCGCGTCCCGCCCAGGCGTTTGCCCCGCCTCCCCGAGCGCCCTGCAGTGGGAGTGGGGCAGGGAGGGCGGGAGGAACGCGAGGGTCTAACCGCGCTGGGCGTGGTGTCCTCCTGCGCTGCCTGTCACACCCGCGCGGAATCGGGCCCATGAACGTGCAGAGAGCCAGCTCCCTGAGGTTTATGAATGACTTGAGTTTGGAGCTCAGACAACTGTCCAGACTTCCTGATTCTCCACTTCTTTTTTTTACCACTGTGCTTATCTATCCTACTCTGTGGATAAACGGCCCTGTGCTAGGGGCAGGGAGAGGTCAGCGTGGGATACTGTGATCAAGAAAGACTTTGGGAGAAAGCCGTGCCTACCTGAATCTTGTTCTTTTTTTCTTTTTCTTTTTTGCAATAGTAGGGATTGAACCCAGGATCTTTGCACTGGCTTCCATCTCCAGCCCATTTTATTTGCTACTTTCAGATAGGGTCTCACTAAGTCATTAAATAGCCCAGGCTGGGCTTGAGTTTTTGATCCTCCTGCCCCAACCTCTCAGGGTGCTGGGATTACAGGCGTGCACCACCGTGCCCATGTGTAGGTTAAATGCCAAAATTATTTTGGGTTATCTCTTTTAGTAGCTGTTTCAGTCCTGGAATGTGTGCTAAGCCTGACAGGCCTCTAGCCTCTACCAACCTCGAAGCTAAGAACACTATCACACCTGTAGATTGCAAGGCTTTGCTGTAGTCTGCCTACCTAAATTGCCAAGTGTTTTGATTATGACTTTCTTTGGTTTTGTAAAACCAAAGAAAATCAGTTATTTGGAACTATAAAAGTTTGTGTAATCTTTTCCATGATGGCACCAGGGTAATTTGAGTCTCTGTTTCTGAGCCATGGTTACTCATATTTGCCTCTAATAAAGTATTTTCTCATTTCCTTTAAGGTAGTGTTATTTTATATGAACAAGAGGTTAGTCTTGTCACTAGTAAGTTTCAATTTTTTCGCAATTGTCAAAATTTTGATCTTGTCTTTTATGGGTTAATGGGTTTTGTGTCATACTAGAAAGAACTTCTACATTCTAAGATTAGTTTGAAGAAAATCTTTTTCTTTTAATTCTGTAATTTGATTTTTTGGCAGGGGGTACTGGGATCAAATCCAGAGCCTGACACATGCCAGGCAAGCACTCTACTGCTGAGTGCCCTATACCCCATTCCCCTGGTTTTAGGAAAATCTCCTGGTTTCTTCTGGAGAAAAGGATTAGGAACCATGGCTCACTGGATCCTAATCCAGATTTAGAGTGTCCCAGAGGAGACCATTGCTAGCCCGAGCTGGTACCAAGCACCAGAGAAAATGTAGAAACTTTTGAAGAAGTCATTCTAGAATGGGGGTCCTCTAAGGCATGGGGTTGAGGATTGCCTGCTTGTAGGAATCTAAGAGCGCTGCTGGGATGCAGGGATTCACTACTGACCGAGGGGAAAACATAGGATAAAGGGAATCTAGCTGTCCACAAAATGATAAGGAATCATATCTGTTGCATATTGGGATTTTTTTCTTTTTGTCAGTTTTGACAATTTGTAAATTTGTCATCGGTCCCTTCTGGGGCAAATGATTTTTTTCCCCCTTGGTACTGGGGATTGAACCCAGGGGTACTGGATCACTGACAATCCCTTTTTATTTTTTATTTTGAGACAGGGTCTTGCTAAATTGTTTGGGCTGGCCTTGAACTTGTGATTCTCCTGCCTCAGCCTCCCAGGTAGTTGGGATTATAGATGTGCTCCACAATGCCTGGCTCCTACCTATACTTTTCAGATTTCAGATTTCTATCTCCAATCCCTCTTCCCTTCTGCATGCAGACATTTTCACTTAAGTATATCTAAAATGGAACATTTGTTGTTTGGTTTTTGTTTATTGAGACAGTCTCACTGTGTGGCTCAGGCTGGCCTTGAACTTGTGGCAATCTTCCTGCCTTAGCCTCTCAAGTGCTGGGATTATAGGTGTGGGCCACCACCTCTGGCTAAAGTGGAAATTCCGTTAGACTTTTCTTTTTGATTGTGACACTGCTCTGTCTTCCCTCACATGGGATGAGGTACCTCAATCTGCCATTCACTGGGAGCCCTCTTTGACATCTCATCTCCTTTTACTCCTAAATCTTATTCATTACCAATCACTTTGATTCCTCCTTGAAACCCTGTCCTCAAGTTAACTTCCACTGACCACCTCTTTTGCTAAGATTGCTATCCTAAATTCCACTTTTTTTTTTTTTTGTGGTGCTGGGGATTGAGGCCTTGAACATACTAGGCAAGTGCTCTACCCCTAAGCTACATTCCCCAGCTCCCTGCTTCCACTCTTGTCTCCCCAAACCCATAGTCTATTTTCTGTGGCTCTGGGTGTGGCTCAGTGGTGAGTACTTACCCAGCATGCATGAGGCCCTGGCTCAATCTCCAGTACTGAGGAAAAAAAATTAGATTATTTCACATCTCTGATAAATTAACTAGGG